AATAGATCCATGGGGGACTCCGGTTGTAATAATACTTGGTTCGGATACTGTACCGTTAACCCTTACCCTAAAAGTGCGATGAGAGAGAAAGCTGCTAATAAGTGATAGAAGAAGATCAGTGATACCGCACACCCCCAGCTTGTGTATGAGTGGAACGTGTGGGACCTTGTCGAAGGCTTTGGCGAAATCTATGTATACGGCGTACGAGATTTGGCCTTCATCACAAGTCTTAGTTAAACTCTCCATGACAGTCAGCATATTGGTGATGCAAGATCTGCCTGGCAGAAATCCATGCTGGAAGGTAGAGAGTAAATTATTTGCGCAGAGGTGCTTCAAGATGGCCTCTTTCAGCATGCGCTCTTGAATTTTGCTAGAGACGCTAGTCAGGAAGACAGAGCGGTAGCTTACTGGAAAGAATCTGCTACCTTTCTTGTAGATAGAGCAGAGAGCTGCGGCTTTCCAGCGAGAAGGGAATATTCCCTCATCCAAGAGCCCACTAGAACAAGAAGCTGGACAATCTAGCATATCCTCGTCAAGTACTGGATCCCTGAACTGACGGCGTTCTGGAAACGAGGCTAAATAGAGAGGATCACGAATACCAAATGAACTGTACGCAGTGTTGAAAGCTATTCCCATGCATCGACAACACAATGAACTAGACGCTCGATTGGCAAGAGCCATATTCGTCCCGTGCAAACTGAACTGAACTGAATTGAATTAGCATGAACTGAAAGTGACCTTGAGCGGCTTCGTTTTCAAATTTGGTAACGTTGTTTCGTGTTTGGTGAATTCAAATTTTCTTTGAAAATAACTCAGTGTTATCTTGAGAAACTAAAACAAAGAAAAATTTCGTGCTTCATTTCACATTTCGAAAACCAAAATATTTCGACTTTTGCATGACAACGGATCACGTTTTCCTTCCCCGAATCCGGCCGTGAAAACAGCTGATTTTCTGTTAACGGGTTCACAATATGTACATAATTCGTAATGATGCTACACTGAAGAGAGACGGATATAAGATGTCAGCGGATGCTTTGTTCTGTTCTCCTCTCGGAATCCAACCAGGAATAGTTAGACAAACACGAGAGAAGTTCGCCAGTGACACGGATTGTTCATCTATACAAATGAACGGGGTCATACCAAGACCGGAACTTGGAGGGTCTGCAAACGCACGACTTAAGTCAACATATGATAGCGTTTTTACTAACCCAAGCCCAAATGAACAACGTCTGAATGCACCAGTGAGATTGTACCGCAGACCACCGTTACCAAATAATGGAATGGACAAAGTTTATTCTTCAGAATCGAGTTTGTATGATCCTGCAAGGAATCAGTATTTTAGATGGGATCAGCTAACGTTCGATAAAAATGCGATGGTATATGTTCCTCCACCTCAAGAAGAAAAAAATTTGGAAACATCAGTTGAATACAGCTATCCCTCCACATGTTCCTCAGTTGCAGCCACAAAAAATGTGTTTGAAAATCATCTAGCATCTTTATATTCCAAAAGCAATCCACGAATGGACAGAAGGCTGTCTTCAACTAGTGAATCGCCCACGGGAAGCTATTTTGACCGCGAAAATCCTCGGAACAGATCACTGTCTTCAAATCGTGAACAACAAGGCTTTCAGCCTCCTTTGTTGACTTCTGGTCAGAAAGGATTTGGATTGCCACATACAGTAAGAAACAGCACGCGTGAGATTTCCCCGAATGACGGTTATAACCGAAATGATAACGGAAAATTTGATCTCAAAACAAGTAATGAGAGGACGGCACATATTCCTGTGGGCGACGCAACTAAAGGAGTCCGCTTGACTTGTGCTACATTTTTCCCAAACGAACAGCAAAATCAAAATCAGCTTGATGAAAGTTATCGGAGTATAGCCTCTTCAACAGAAATGACAGATAAAGGAGTCAACGGGAATCGGAAAATATCTCCTCAAGGATCCTATTTCAAAGACCACACACCCTTTAGTTACATCACCTCGCCCACTGTTCTAGCACGTCAGTTAAGTCTTTTGAAACCATCTCAACAATCTCCTCCTTCCAATCCAAAAAGACAGTACCTGAGCAACAGTTTTACAGGCTCTAACACAGAGTACAAATACTCCCATCAGCGAGCACCCATTCCCCAAGACTCATTTCCTAATCATAAAGTTGAAATAAATGGGAACGGAAAGCAAATGAAAGATCAATACAGTCCAGAGAGGGCAGAAAAGCGCCAAATATTTATTCCCAATTACATAAAAACATTTAATTTAACAAATACGTCAAACGTGGAATCCAAAGCAATGGCTCAAACCTCACATGGATGGAGACCTGATGGAAGGCAAGAGAGCTTCCATGAAGAGATGAAAGAATCCATCCCATCAGGTGACCATTTTGAACGCCAAAAGCCTGCTCCAGTTGCGGAGTACAGAAATCCGGAGACTATTAAGGGATCTGCATTATTATCCTCTCTGCGCAGCAAACCAGCTTCATTTAAACAAGAAGACACCTGTTCCAAGAAAATCAATAAGGTTGCATCTTTCACCAACTTTCAAACATTCCCCGGTCCAAATGCAAGGACAAAGGTAACTGTGGACAGTCAAATGGGAGTGGGGAAAAATAGCGTACAATGGGTTAGTCGTACAAACAATCCGGCACAGCCGGGAATCAACAACGGAATAACTGTCAAAAGTAACGAAGAGACTCAAAGCAGTGGTACTAAAAAGAAGTTTGACAAAAGCATGGAAGAGTTACCAAAGGTTAACAATCGTGGCCCTGGAGTGGGTAGATCGGTTTCTAACAGAGAAACCCGGGTTCCTTCTGTATTCAAGAACGGAAAGCCAGAAATTTCGAATCAACAAAAATTCTTCATTCCAAAGGAGCCCGTTAATGATTTCAAAAGCCCCACAAAACCTAGTGAACCCCCTAGAAGTCCACCGCAAAACCTCTCCTTGGAAAGCCCGACGAGTCCAAAGGGTATTAAAGATTCTCCTAAGTCTAGTGAAGAAGAAGAACCGCAACTCACAACAAAACAGATCACGGGAATTCTTGAAAGGAAGTTAAAGTTTCGATTGCATCCACCGGGAACAGATACTCATGCATCCAAAACCAGCACTGCGCAGACACCGAACAGCAGAGAAGACTGCCAAGTGGGTTTCACGAATCACATGGAAGAAAATCCCCCAAGACCGAATTCCGGAGAAAACAACTCCAGTAATTCTAATGCACCTAACATTGGTGACTATCCAGCAACCAAAAATGATGGAATTCTTCATTATCCTAAACGTGACGGTGATATTACAGGTCAGGAGCAGTTGTCTTACGGTTATAATCCTAATTCTGTTACGAAGAAGGGTCACACACGAGAGTTGAGTCAAATGTTTGATCAACAACTGTCAGAGGGTCCAACTCAAAGTATAAAGACGCAAGCAACTGTAAACCTGAAAAAGTTTTCTTCTTTTGATGCTCCTGAGCAGAGTGGGATGGTGAGTATACAAACAACGAAACAAGTACCACCTGTTCCTCAAATGAACAGAAAAATGACTCAAGTGGAAACAAATAATTTAAATGGACTGGAGAGGAACAGTATAACAGTTGACACTAAGTCTGTTGAAAACTTGGACGGCATTCCAACACCGTATACACCTGCTGTATTTACTCTACCAAAGGGAGCGTTATCAAATACAAAGCCTTCAACATTCGCTGAAATTAAGCCTATTCCAGTGGATCCAGCATCACTATCTTCGTCACATAAACCGTTACGTTTCTCAACTCAAACTATCACCAAGAGACCCGACTTTTCAGAAATAGCTCAAAAACTCGAAGAGCAATTTAAACATGGTGGAAATCTCACAAGAAGTCAGTCATCTATTTTTCCATCTACTGACAACACTGAAAAATCAGAGGATGCCCATCTGGCCGCTTCGGCAACAGACTTGAGTAATGCAGATGAACGTGCACCAGAGGCTCCACCATTAATTAGATCAGACAGAAGGCCAAAAAGTCTCAATGCATTAGAGGATGACAGCTTAAAACCAGTGAGGATGAAGTTGTTCAGAGAGTTAACAGAAACGTTAGCCAGACGGTCCGGAAACTTTGAAGAAAAATCTCCTTCAAGAAAGCCGCTTGAACCACAAACATACAAGTCTATACTGAGACCAAAGGCGGGAGAAAACAATGATGTAAGTAGTCACTCGTGGTGATGAGCTTTGTGTTTTAATTCCTAATTTATAACGTTATTGTTTCAGTGAAATAAATTTTATCATTGGTTTGGAGCCTATAATATTGCATGTAGCTAGAAATTTTGGTGTTTTGACAGAAGTTTCAATTTTCGCGTTTGTCTTTGATATCTCCAATGTGTAGAACACAATTTCAAGTGTATTATATATCCTTTAAGTTTTGATCATGTAGTTCTAGAAACATCATCTTAACAGATGAATACTAAAAGAAAACCAGGAGACACCTTAGAAGTGTCAGGCATTACGCGATAGCCCTCCAAACGCTTTGCTTAAAAATCCAGTCTTAGGAAAGTAAGGTTTTCATAATAGCTGAGGACTAAAATGTAACTTACGGTTATAAAACTAATACTGACACTTACTTAGAAATATGATGATTTCGCGCACAGCTTCAAATTGGTGTATTCAATCCAAATTTTGCCACGAAACTGGTACTCAGCGATAAATGCTAATCTCATCCTCAGCATCAAGTATGAATTTGATTCACAGGATTTTCAAAGTTTATAAAAGAAAGTGCCATATGAAGAATGTTGAAAACCTATGAGGCTAACTTACTTAAGCGAGAATTAGAAAATTTGGGTTTACATTTTATAAAGATGACCTGAAGGTAAAATCTCGTTCAATAAGAACTCAATGGATAAACTACCAGAGTTAGATTGAAGATATAAAATTTGATCAACTGAATGGCCAAAAGTACTGAAATAACTGCGGTAGTTCAAAATTTATTACTTCCGATAGAATGAAAAGGTGTTTATAATAAACTCATGACCAGTCGAAGAACAAAGGTATCACAGAAAATGACCTACACTGATAGAATCCACTCGGTTTAGTTAAAAACATAATTGCTTTTGCGCCTTTATGAATAGAGCAAATTTTCTTCTTTAGGGTAAAATAACGGAGAGCTGAAAAGAGAAAATTTGATTTAAATACAGAGCAAAAGTTATCATGCAGGAACCAAAGAAGAGGTTATGTAAACCGATAGAAGGCACAGTAAAACCGTTTCAATTTTGATGGGGGCTTCATTAGCATTAAGAATTAATGGAGTCAACTGAGAATGGAACTCTCAAATGTTACAAGCAGGATGTAAACATAAACCCACTTGAGGAGTAGGAACTTGGTTTGAATTCTTTAGTTCGTCTGTTTGCGATAAGAAATAATCCATATGTGAAAACTTAATGTAATCGTCTTACCAACATTATCTTAGCATGAGTCTTAGAGGTAGAATTTGGACTCAATTGGAGCTTTTCGAATGACATTCTTACAACGATTTAACTCTAAACAAAAGAAACGCACGTCAAAACTTTAGTAAAATCGTTTTTACAAATTATTGAGTTAAAATGTATTCCAAAGCTATAAACTCAATCAAATAAATGGATTCTACTACCTAAGTGCTAAGCATTTGAAAATCCGTGTTGACAGAGCATGGAACCAACGGAGAGCATAAAAGATATTAGTAACAATTTGGACAGGAAGATGATTCAGAAAAGTTCAGTTTAATCTTTTACATTCAGAAACCTTGTACTTCCGCATTCTGTGTGAGCTGGGTGTTTTGTGATAATGAAAGAAGTAAACTTACGCTATAAGATGAATGCAGTATGAGGCCAAAGTCAGAACTTCGCCAAGACAGATTAGCTTGGAGTAAAGACAGGAACTCTACCATCTACGACAATAAACCTCATCACTCAGATTCGCCACCCTTAGGGTTCCGTTAATTTATATGTGTCTGTAATGAGTAAAAGGACCTGAAAAAGGAAATCTGTCGGTTAGCTTTTAATTTATGCACATCAAGTAGTAGGCTGACTGCACTTTTCTGGCTCAGTAAAAGCCAGAGTTTCTATCAAACGACTTGTTTATCTAAATATATTCCTGAATAATCGATAGTGAAGCCTTTGAGGATGTGCGTAATTAGAATTAACGAACAGTTTTCAAATAGCCTTGGCTAAATCAGATTGAGGATATTGACAGAATGATTACGTGATACGTTACAATTCAACAAACTGATTTGGTTGTTCAACAAAATAAAGATGTACTCTCCGTAGAAACGTGTTGGTATCCATAAAATGCTTGCATTTTCATTCCTTATTTCCTTTACTTTACTCTACTTAACTGCGGCTGGCTCCTTTGAAAGGATAAGCCGGCTGCAGATATTATCATGATCAAGATCATGGAGTTCCTTGGAAGTTTGGCACAGGAGACGTCCCCAGTGTCACTCGCCCCTTTTATTTTGAGGGCACACCTCTAACCTTTGCACAACCAAGTGGAAACCTCAAGGCGGAAGGAAGTAATCACTCGCCTCGGAAGTGAGGGGGTCAATGACTTTCGTTTTGAAAGATCAGTCACATTGACCTTTGTCACAACACCGTCACTGGGCTTATGCAGCCTTTAAACATGAGCCAGGTGACCAACCTGAAACTCACCACACCCTTGCTGTGCCGCCGTTGTTCGTTCGCAACTGCTTATTTGTTACGGTATGCCACAACTTATTCACAGCTAACCTTCTTCACTAAGAGTATTCCCATATCCAAAACCCGGGGACGCGCCTGTTAGCATTCTGCTCTGCTTAACCCGAGGGTATCCAGACCAACAGGGGTGGCCAACAGACCGACAGGCAACTTTGGAGTCCCAGAACATCTAAATTAGAAAATCAGAGGCACGTTTTTCTGGTTCATGGCAACACAGACAAAGTCAAGTGTAACTAAATTGAAACAATTTATTTCGGAGAAGCAAAGAAAGCAGGTTGATCATATCATCATAATAATACTCTGCTCACCACAAATGGAACAAAAAGCTGGTAGCAGTTTTTGTCTGCAAGTGTTCAGTAATTCATTTAACATTCTGAACTAGAAATTATATAGTACCACCATTGGAATATTTTTAAAACGCGAATTACTTCTGAAGCTAGAGGGTCACTGAAGTAACCCTATGGGATACATTAACGTACAATGAATAGGGTCCGAATAATACCCAACATCTAACACCTGGGTACAGGAAGTCCAGAAAGACAGTCAATATTTGGGAATTTACAAGTCCAAAGCTTTCGAAATGATCAGGTTGATGCTTGTATTTGATGCATTTGAATCATAGACGTCTTAAGGAGCGAACCAGGAGAGTTTAAAAAGTATATAACACGACAGTTTTCAGAGCAAGGCACGTGACTATAAGGATGTGAGCTTAGGTAAACAGTTACTATCGTGTTTATTTTTGTCAGTTTTTCTCAAATTTCACACGACCGAAATTAACAAAATGTGAACTTCACTCCAGCAAATGAGTCTTGCACTTATAAACATATTTAGGATTGATCCCACCTAACGGAACGTTTGTATTCGAAAAGAGTCAATCTGTGATCCGGTAGAAATCGTAAATGGTTGTAACTGAGAAGCTTAAACGCATCCAATGGAAATTTGCACTGTTTGTCTGAGTCGACTATGGAAAGGTTGTGAATAAAATCATCGAAAGTTTAACGGAAGTTGGAACCGACTAGGAGAAACTCTTCCCTTCGAAGCCTGGTTTTGGATGAGAATTTTGCGAAACGTTGGGGATTGAGATTTCTTTACCTACTGGTTGCCTCAGGTCCGATCAAAAAATTTTAAACCAGAAAACTGGCACCAATTGCGTGGAGCATTCATGCATTGACGAATCTAGAATTTTGTTTCTGAAATGTGCAGGTTAAGGAAAGAGGTTAAAGGAAAGAGGATAGTAAAATTTATCAAGTGACAACTGAGTCAGCAAAGGAGTGGATAGTAGTAGGATTTCATCACACCTGACGGAGAACTTGGTATAAGTGAATTTTTATAAAAGATATAAATGTTGGATTATATATTACCTTAACTACAATACTGACAGCTGAAACGATTGTAAACTCCTAGGTCAGAATTGAAGAATAAAGAAGTGACGCAATAGTGACAGAAGCATAGGACATCTATCAGAGGTGATCTACCTATGATCTTGTAAAATACGATGGCTTCACACTTTCCATCTTTTGATCAACACGTTTTTAAGAAGCTAAAACTTCTAAGCTAAGCTTTCTTACGTGTTGGAATTTTCAGTTGTCAACAAAATCTTGGTTAGTTCAGCTCGAAAATGAATCCTGAGATAGTACCCATAGGAGTAGGTTCCAAGTTCTACGATTCCTGCTGCCGTTTAATAGCCTACTTCTCTTATAATTTCTTGGAAGTTATTATTTAAGAAATCAGCTTGCATTATATTACATGGCTTCACTCTTTCGGATGCAGAGTTCGCGACTTCTGATA